AAAAGACGAGAATATTTTAGAGAAAGTGACTCGACTCCCGTTGTTATACGACGGCGAGCAAATAACAGGCATCGAAGATATAACGATACGGAACGTTCAGCTTCATTAAGCGGTCGGATAGGTAAACGAGAAGTTAATTAACGTTGTATTATCTAACAAAGTTTAGGAAGCTCGCGGCTTCCCTTTCCAGTAACGTAAGGTAAAGTCTACAAACTTCCGCGCGAGTGGCTGCGGGAAGAAATTACAAGAAGCAGTAAGCGAGACAGGTATAGCATTTACCGCAAGATGATTGTACTGTTAATCAATGTATCCGGCATTCTAGACGACTTTACCGAGGAGCTGTGACGTGTTGTTACGTAATCGTCGAGAGCGAGAGAACGAGAGACAGGGAAGAAGAGAGAGAGAGAGTAGCAGAGGATGGGTGAACGTCATCAGATATGCTCGAGAAAGGAGGCTGTGCTGAGAGCACGTTGAACGCGGTTCTATAGCTGTGGAACGAAGCATCTTCTGCATAATTGCGTACACATGGAAGTCGCACGCTTTCTCTCGATAGGAAATGCCGGAGTTCAAATCAGGAAGAATTTATCTCGATTATATCGACGGTTTCTGCATTCGAAGCGGATGAAAAAAAATCACGGAATTTTAAATTGAGTTTCAAGCTTGAAAGTAAATAAAAATTTTTTTATCTCTTTCGAAACTACATTTTACTATAGCGGAGTTATAAATTGATATGCGCAAGATGCGCTTATATATATATATATATATATATATATATATATGTGTATCCATGATATATCTACTACTCCATCACGTACGTTCGCATTGTAATATTGCACGCTGGTTTTCTCGTGTCCAATCACTTGAATGTTTAGAAAGTTTCATTTATATACTGAACTGTAACTTTTTTTTTGACAAATTTAATTTTATCAGAAAATTGTTATTTTAAAAATGCTTGTATAATTTGGCGAATTTTAAATATTATCAACGAAACATACGTGTATAGTATTACGTTATATAATGTGTATAGCGATGAATATCTTATAGTCGTAATAAAAATTCCTTTCAACTTTGTGTTTCTAAGTTTATATAAGGTTCACACGAAAATTGTTTCAAATTTTTTAACCTGCTTGCGCGGAAAGAGTATAAAAAAGTTAGCAAGGGTGAAGTTACGCGAAAGTCTCATTAAAATATGTAATATGTCTTGAATCACTTGTAATGACTGTAAAAAAGCAAAATAATTAAATTTGCAACAAACGCACATAATGTAAATTCTGAAATGTTAATTTTTTTGCGTCAGCAATTCATTGTTATTTTTTATGATGTACACACATATACACTCATACGAGTATATATATATATATATTAAGTTTAATATTTTTTTTTTAAATTAAAATAGCTGTTGCAAGAGAGGAATTGGAAAATTAAAAAATAATATTATGTCTCTCGCACATTTGAAAAATAGTATAGTTACAATATTTGTGATTTCTCTATGCGTATATTACAAATGTTTTTTTGCCTTACACCCCGTCATTTTAACTCCCTGTAAATTTATTTTAAAAGAGGAGTTGTAGGACAAGAGAAAGGATTCACACAGCGGAGTTAAGAGCTTCCGCTAGTTTAAATAAAAAATGAGTCTCTATTATATATCTGTAGAAATGTATGAAAAGCCTTTGGAATTTTTATTCCAGCAAAGCGCGGATATATTCCGGATACGTAATCTCGAGCGTGTGCGCGACAAACGAGTTTCTCCATTATGGTTTATCGTTTCGCGAGTCGAAATGGATCGATGGTACAGCACAGTTTCCCAATCGCGGTCTTCTCCGAGTCGAATCGATACCGCGGCCAGCTTGGAATCGCGAACGGCAGCGTGTATACTTTTCTACTTCTGTCGAGCAAATGTTTACTCGCGCGTATTTTGAGTTACGTTTCTCTTTCGCATCGCCTTCGCTATCGCGAGCAAAGTTTTCATATTATTTAAACGAAAAGAAGTTACACGCTCGTGCGGCTTTCGTTCCGCCGACATTTTTAGTATCAATTAATTTCTGTATTAGGGACGAGACTAATTATAAGCTACATCCAAAGAGGTCGATCGAATGAAATGAATATTCAGCATATTTTTTTTTTTATTATGATATCTGGCCAGCGAGATGGTCTATAAAAATTGTACGTTTGCCTAGTAATCCGTTTGATAAAATTGCGACAGACAAAGAAGGGAAGAATTTTTGCAAGAAGTACGGTTGCAGTGAACGTTTCTTTAAGCCTCTTAAGAGTCTCTACGATTTTTCAATAAATCCGTCTTTGCAGATTGTATTTTCAATTGCGCGCAGCCAGCTTTCGGACGGATGAAATCACACACATCGCTCTATTATGATTTATCATTTCAGTATATTGATGGAATTGCAGAAGTTTCTCTCAGTGCCGATATTGGTCGCGTGCCATATCGACCAATGGCACTCGCCATTGTTGTACCAAGCTATACACGTCGGATTTTTACCGTTTCGTACCCGAACCGCTGCCACGCAAATATGATCCACTTGTATATTTTTCCTAGCTTCGGTATTCGTAGATATATACCAGCGCTTGTTCCTGCTGAAATATATACGCGCCAGAATATACGCGAAACTTTCAATGAATTTTACGAATGTTTTTTCAAACGCACTCTTCACGCATAAAACAATGACGTGTATTAATAAAAATGCGTATGTCAAGAATGCACGTATGCGTTTAACTGTGATTATAATCTCACAGCAAAGAAACAAATGATCGAAATTAAATTTTTTAAATTCGTCGCGCGATAAAATAAGCTTCGGACTATTTGAGAAATGCGTCGTCAAATTAATTTTATTTTTTTTTTTTGACATTTATTTTTTGTCACAAGAAAGAACAGAACGTCTTTTTTTCTCTTTCTCACAAATTCGCAAAGTTTTTCCTTTAATTTTCACACCGACGATAATAATCGGAGCGGAAGCGGATCGAGAGTATGAAGTCAATCGTTGTGATTCGCCAACTACGTAGTTCCGTAGTCAGCTCCGCCAAGGAATTAATAAGCACCATCGCGAAGCACCCCTCCGAGCCTTTTTGCTCTCCATTATCCAAGATAAACGGCAGCCCTTCGGCACGATGGGGCATTCGTTGGTGAATAGAGAGGAGGGAGAGAGAGAGGACAAAACTTTCGAATCGCTCTTGCGCATCAAATGAAATTCTGCGGAGACGGACATTTCTTACTCGGTCGTCGGGGTCCCCGTGCGCGTATTTCGCCGTTTTCTCAGATCACCGAGCAAATGTTGACCCAGTTTCGCCGTCTGATTGAACGTTACTCTGTCTTTCGAAAGTGCTGACTGGAATATACGATGAGCGAGAAGTTAGGGGCTGCACCCGCAGTCTCCCTCTCTTTCTTCGGCGGGATCTCTCAGGATCTCGCTGCTGGACCCCAGCTACGAAATTCGACGAGAGTTTATCCGCCCGCGGCTGTTCGCGCGCGAATTTGCGCTTATATTTACGAGCAGCGAGCTTCATTGGGAGATCAAACTCGATTGCTTAGTGCTACTTGACGCCTTCTTTTCACGAAGCGCATCAATTTGGAACCCTGAAAATTGATATATATATTTGTAACTTCATCTTCCACAAATCGAAACTGAAAATACTATTGATTATTTTTTTTTTTTTGTATAGAATTTTGTTGTAATCTCGCCAGTAAGAGATTAAAATTAGAAACACTTATGACAGTTTACTTAGACTATAATTTCATCTATTTTTGTTTTTATTCAGTTACAGTCTCTGACTTTCTTATTGTTCTTTTGCTGATTTAAATTAGTTGTGGTTTGGTTATTTAGTTAACATGTAGTGTTGAAGGCAAACGACATACGTTATTATGTTAAATAATATGGCTAAACATTATTGTTTTTTCAGTGTTTCATATGTAATTAATTTATTCTGTATATATAAGTACTTGAAAAGGACCACAATCGGTGGTTGAAACGTTGTAACTGACACAATAAAATAAAAAAGCAGCCGGTGTTGGGTCACTTAATGTTTCTAATTTTACTATTGATGATATCTGGATTTTTATACCCGATTGAAATGTGAAAAATAATCAAATAAACTTTTTCTCTTTTGCTTTATATAATCCAAGACGCGAAAATATGTAAATTTCGAGGAGCTAATTTTATTTAGATGATTTCCATTAGCATTCGTATGCTATAAAACACACTTTACGAAGTAAAGTCGATAGTACTCTTAAAGGGTTAAAGTCGCTCTCGAGGGAGCCGACTACTAAGTTGATTCACCTCGTTTTCGCAAAGGTGCCTCTTATTACGCGTTGCTATACCAAGTCTTTACGAAGTTTCCGTAAGCCCGCGCTCTAAGACACCGAGTGGGAGGTCGCGGAGTCACCCGGCCGAATAAAGCCGCGGCTGAATGAGATATAACAGGGTACTTACCCACACTGGCGAGGACCCGCAGGTAAACCGTAAGTCGGACGATGTCGGGAGAGAAAGAGAGATGAATAACGCCCGGGCGTAGTGGATACGGCTTAATATAACTTTTTCCGTGTACTCTCGTTCTTCTTCCCACCTTTTCTTCTCATTTTGCCTTTTCACCGTCATAAGCAACGAGACGGATACGCGACGACGCCTTCCTCGCGATTCAAGTAATTTGAACGCACATCTGCGCGTCAGGTAATAGGATGCATCGCGCTTCCCCGTCTGTTATATTCCATGTAACGCGATGAGAAAGGAAAATGTCAGTTTTGGCCGAGATACATTTATTCGCAAAAAACAATTTATTATAAATACGACATGAAACGTTTTTTTTCTCTTTTTAAGATTTCTGAAATTGACGAAATCTTGGGGAGAATAAATTCGCTTAAAAAGAGAAAATAGAACAAATACATGTAAGTAGAAATATAAATAAGTTATATAAAGTTATATACAGCGAAATTTCACATAAAATTCCGCCTTTATGATAAAACAAAAGCTTTTCGCAAGGAATAAAAATTCAAGATGGAATTCGACAAATGCGTAGTACGTCTCATCTATATTTCTCTCATCGCTCTTCGTGTACCGCTAACAATAAGCACCAGCACGTTATCGCCACCAACAATCGAATCTACCGTCGTGTCTACCATCGTCCCCGACACGACAGAGGAGGAAGAGGACAGGATAGAAATGCCAAGTGTACCTCTGACAGAGCAGGTTATGGATCACAACATACGGGTGAGCGATGTACCCGACGTGGATCCGGAGTCGACGAACGTGCCGGATTCCATCTTAGACAAGAACCGGATAATTCGCGACGCGGCTTATCTTATTCGCGCCCACAAGTTCCACGACTACGATCGCCGGTATTGCAAAAGCGTGGAAGAGGCCACGAGCAGGCCATACGAGGAGTTCCCGAGGCCAGGCCTGAGATCCCTGCACTGGGAGGTGCGCAAGCACTGCGACGCGAGCTTTGTCGAGTGTCTCAAGTATCTCGAAAGGATCATTAAGCTCATGGCCCTCAGGCGCGAGGACGACACCGTCACGATCATGAGGGAGCAGAAATGGAACTTGGTGAACAATACCGAGCAGATCCTGACCGCTCAAAGGGACTGTCAGACAGCCCAAAGACGAGACAATCTCACCATGGTTCCATTTCAGGGTCCAATTGGCAAGTGCATCGATTTGCCGCGAGCATCATCTAATCACGCCGGGACATTAAGCTTGATGTACATAAGCTAAATCGCTTCTCCGATCAAATAATCTACGCGGCAGATTTCATCGTGTCATTTACTCGCTCGAAATGGTAGCCAGCTATTAATGTTTTTAATCCGACCTTTAACGCTACAAGCCAGGAGAGCGTATATGTTGTGTGCTAATTTAATACGCAGGAGCTTTTATGGAGCAGTTGAAGTAATCCTGCTAATTAAGAGCTTTTGTTCTAAATACCGCGATATACAAGCGTTTATAAATTTACAATAAAACATATTTATTTTTTTAGCTAACTCGTAGAGAGAAAGATATGTGGAAAAATTTTTGCTTGATATTTATTTATTATATGTCATGAATATACTTCAACACCGATGAATAATTTTTCCATGCAATAAAATATACGCTCAATGTCTGTAATAGTGGGCAAACGGGAAAAGAGACGTTTAATTCCGATTAAAATTGAATCAATGATGGGTTAATACCCAATTATCTCACGTACATACACATGAAAAGATCGTCGAATCTATTTTCAGAACGCTTTCAATGGCGTACCACTGTCAGCTATTATATGTGCTGGTATACGATGTTGGGTATTCCGGATTTAGCCACCTTTGGCGAGCCTTGCGACAATCACGCCAACTGCCTGGATGAATACGGCATTCACAACAAGGATCCACGAGCGGACGATACGAAACCGTACGCTTGCGCTCTGTACAGTTTCTGCCCGGACCATTGTTGCCCTATGAAGCACATCCGGTACATGAAAGATTGTTTTCAGTCGCAACGCAATCCTTGCTTTGCTGAGAACCAACCAGGTGCGTAGACATATAAATATCTGTGTCGCGTCTCATTTATATATTTTCTACTAATGGTTGAAAATTAATTTCATCTAACGTGTAATGTGATCATGCCTTATCGTCCCATTACATCGAAAAAATACTGTTACTGTGTAATGAATGTACATTTCTTGACACTGGAAAAGACGAGATTAGAAAACGACATATTTTCTTCTTCTCGCATAATTTTATAAGATTTTCGACTAATTATATAATATTATTTTATATATTTTCTAATAATAATTGAAAATTGATTTCATGTAGCGTGTGTAATGATCGCATCGTATCGCCTTATGACATCGAAAAAAATGCTGTCACTGTGTGATGTATAATTCTTGAAACTAGAAAAAACGAGATTAGAAAACGACATATCTTTTTCTTCTCGTATACAGTTGATTAAAAACAGACAATTAATGTCAATCGCTAATTTTATAAAATTTTCGTCTAATTAAATAATATTACCGTACAATTGTAATATTTGTTGATAAATCAGAAACATGTTATCGTAAAGTATGCTCCAAAAGCATGTAACTTTACAGACGAAATTCTCGCTTTGTCTACGACGAACGCAACAACAAACCGGTGCTTCACCGCACGTCGAGCTTCGCATGCTCATTTGCATTCCGTGCGCCACGCGCGCAATTAACCACACTTGAAGTCTTTCCTCTGTCAGAGGCGCCGCATTTCGTTTACAGCACATCGAAAGTGCACCCTGAATCGGGACGAGAATCGCGACTTCCACGCGCTCGGAGCGAATCAGATAAATGTGAGCTGCGAATGTCACCAGCCCGGTCACGAGTGGTCCTCCAGATTCGGGCTGTGCGTTGATGTGAATGAATGCATTCGCGGCACGCACAATTGTACATTGAACGAGGAGAGTTGCCTGAACCTGCCCGGTCATTACGCTTGCGTCTGTCGACTCGGCTACGTTTATAATCAGGAGATGAAACGGTGCGTTCACAGCCCGGACATTGACAGAGTGCTGAAGAGTGTTCAAAGTGTGCGCGAACCAAAGGTAACGAAAACGAGAAGTCTCTTCGACAAGATTGTTCGAGTTATTACCCGATCCGCCGGAAGTAGCTTCCTGTATGGCTACAGACTTAATTTTTTATTCATTTTTACCGTGTTGATGTATAGTATCATGTAAACGAAATCTATTCTATTTATTTTTTAATTCAGTCAATTTTTTTTGTTCTCTCTTCTCGAAAAAAAAATATTTTAAAAATTCTTTAACATTCTGTAGTATTATTTTTACGAATCCAATTGTGTTAATGAATTATTGTTAAAGAAAGAATGCAGTTAATTTCATCAACAGATATATCTTTGCATATTGCAACATTTTTATTACAATGCTTTAATTTTCAATTGAGCTTACATTCGCCTCTATAAATAATTTTTATTAATTACAGTAATTCCAAAAAATTATAATAGCAATATTGTACACGTAACCGATAATTAGAAATACCTATTACATTTTGCATGCTAAAATAATTTTTAGATATAAAGTATGTACGCACATATAATAGGAATATAAATGCAATATTAAATCTAAATTATGAGCATTATTTGCAGTAAATATTTCTCTTGCGCGCTTCTCGTTTATTTCTGAAAAACGCATTAACACTAAAAGATTAATTAATTACTTTCCAGCGCACACCGGATGCAAGCTTTAATCATTGAATTTTGCGTAGTTATACACGAAATATATTTTCACGCTAATTAAATAGTTTGTAGAAAATTAATATAGCATTATCACGCGGTTATTTAAACGATAATGCATTTTGGGCAGTACAAACAATTGCGATATTGCGATCGCTGTCTTATTTAATGAAATTAATGTGTAATTTAAGTGAGAAAAGCTCGTCATAGAGGGGTGTTGTTGTTGTTGTTAGTTGTTGTTGTAGTTTATATTATGAAATTAACATGGGCGCTACAAATATAGGATCGTTTGATAACGATGTGCATGATAATCAGAGCAACGTTATAAACTGCGATATATTATCTTTTAGAAATATTCAGCTACTTGAGATGCACCGCAGCGCGTAGAAATTTGTATCCGTAACAATTCAAATTTTAATCTTGTCCGCATAATAGTGCGTTTCCGTGTGTTTCGTACGCTATCACAAAACGGCTTCTCTTAACGGTTATTTGGCCTGGCTAAAGGAAAAACAATGCTCTCGGGTATGCCGTACTCCATGCTTAGCATAACGGTGAAATAAGCTCGAGCTCGGGCAAAACACTCGGAAGAAACATCCGGCGAGAATTCTTAAAGATGTTAAAACTCTCGTGGAACAGCAATTATCCTTTGCATTAACACTTCAAGGGCGAATAACGCCCGCCACCTTCGCTAATTTCGCGCAAAGTAAAATTATTCCGAAAATTTATCCATTTATAATTTCGTGGTTTTGCGGAATACCCGACCAAAGAATATTCAAATCAAATATTTTATCAAAAACATGTGCATATCCAAATGTGACATAAATCTTTAAAATTCCGTCAAGAGCAAAATATACCGATATCTGTTATGACATAAATGTTAATGTTGCATAGTTTTATTCCACCGCACTTTGTTGTATGTATACATAGACATCGTGTCATTTAGCAATTTTGATGAAAATAAATCCATCGGTTAAATTAGATAACCTCGTGAATTAATTTACGTCGCGTTAATTAACCAACAGTTAAGCAACATATCCCTGGAGCCAGCACATTCTCCATATGTTGCCCTATCGTGTATGTGTGTGTGCGACATGTACAATCCAATTTTTGCGGTATTCGCACACAGAAACGAGATGAGTGACACGCGTTACGTGCTACCTATACTTTACCGTTTCCGTTACTGCGAAATTCCACGATATGAAACAAATATCATCGACGCACGAAGAAATCCGTACGTGTGCGAAACATGTGCGTGGAAGCCGTCCAAGTCGAGCGATAAATATAGGCGGATTGAACGCGAAAAAATAAAAAAATAAAAAATAAAAATCTAGCAATGCTGTTTTATTCATTGAATGGCAGAGCCGTGTCGCCGAGTTTCTTTTCGCCAAACAAACTTCGCGCGAAGTAATGCATAAATGCATAAAGTGCAGCGCGCGACGTATAACATCATTCATCAAGGTGTAGTCGTTGATTTCGATGTATCGGACGAGAAAAATTGCTGATTCGCACATTCCGAAATGTCCGAGTGCCTTTATATATAGATATGTGTACGCGTAAGTGAGAAATTGAGACGCGGAGCGGAACCGTAAATGGAGAAAATGCGATTGCGTGGTTTCAAAACGAAAGCGAGCGGTCAACGCAGTCGCTACCAAACAGTAATTTTTCTGTCTCGCAAGACAAAATGCGTACCAAACGGGGGATTAGGAGAAACAAACTGTTGTGGCGAGGTTTACGTAACTCGGCGCTGGCCGATCTCGAGGATCGCGATATCGCGGGCGCGCACTTTCATTCTATCTTAATCTCTGTTATATAACATCACGCTAAACCGGTTCCATCCACTTGCACTCGCGCAAAGACCGACGTTATGTACTTTCTTCGGTTCAACGTCCTCGACACCTACACTTGCAATTACACATGTTAGTTTCTAATTTACGCGCAATTACAAATATAAGTCTGCACACGCAAAGACATTTCGAAAATTACCGAAGTATACTCATTATTTGTGCGCTCTGTGCGTTATTAATAAATTTACAGTTATATAATCGCTTGAGTTATATATATATATATATATATATATATATATATATATATATAACTCAAGCATTATATAACTGTAAATTTATTAATGACGCACAGAGCGCACGAATAATGAGTATACTCTATAAAAATATATATATATATATATATATATATATCCGTGTATCACAAGACTTTACGTGCATACAATACCTTGACATAATGTCAATCAACTTGTGACGAAAAACAAGATCAATGTTCCTTTTTCTTCATATTTCCAGATATATTTACATCGTCTACATCCATAAAGAGTTTCGATCGGTTTCTTTTTCAGATTTCAGTTATATATACTCGTATATATACACACGTAAAGTCTTGATACACGGTTTTTATATTTTTCTGATTATTAGCATATATTACCGTCATTATGCATACTAACGACGTATACAATAAATATAATGGAACTTGGAGCGCAGATAATATCGTGGATGACCTGCATAGCTCATCAGAAAAAGTAATTAACGCGCGACGAGACCATTTGCGCTTTGCGCACGCAAACGATATCATTAAGCATATTAACGTTTATTGACCAGTCTTTATGACGTTCAGGGGGCGTCATCGTTGAAAAACCCGCGTCTCGCGAGTTTTCATCCGCCGTGTAAAACCACGGTTCGCTTTAAATTGGCTTGATTTTTTTATTCGTAAACAGCGAGCCGGCGCGATTCGTCGCAGCCCGGGCATTGAAAACAACAGCGCACGTGGACATGTATGAAACGAAACATGCGCCGTGACAAAAAAATGTACATATTCAAACATGGAAATACTGCAATGGGGAAGAGGAAAGAAGGGGGAAGAAGGGGGAGGGAGGGAAGAATGGGAAAACGAGGCCGGGTGCAGCGTAGCATTACAGGGAAATCCCGCATCGAATAGCCGGACGTGTCGAAAACCCGAATATTTCCTGCGCCGTAGCTATTTGTGCCAATTGACCGTCGCAACATCAATTTTCGGACTCTGAATCGCGTTAGTGAAGTATAGTCATTTTATTGTGCCGATGTCACGGGTGTGCCTTCGCATAAATAGATATTTTCACCGCAAATAAAGGTATACATCATACATCCAGGATTTAAAATGAAATATCGCTTTGGAACATTAGTGCGAGCTTTCTTCCGAATCACGAATAATCATTAATTGTTGATAAACGAATCTGTAATACGTTTTTTTCTGAAATTATCTACTTGACACTAAATCACCAATAGAGCAGTGTCCGATTTTTGGTGACCCTGATAATGTACAGTAAAGGTGAGATAAAAATATGTAAATTCGTCTTATAGATAAAATAAAGATGATTTTGTTTTAAATATATCTAGGTAAAAGATAAAATTATATGGCGATTCATTTAGATAATAATTTTTAAGACTGCTGTTTAAACACAGTTATAGAAAAAATGTAAATTATAAAAAGATATAAAAATTTATGTATTTATAATTTTATTTATAAATTTTTATCGCTTATTGCTCAAGTTCTACTATTTAAGTATTTTTATGTGCTATGATTCTAAACCAAAATTATCTGAGAATTATTCTAGATAATTTAGTAAAAATAATACTTTTTTTTCATCTAAGATATAGATAATACATATTTTTATTATCTATATAAAGATAAGACGCCAAAGTTTCATCTAGATGATTATCTATATAATTTTATTTAGATAACAGGAAACACTGATAATGTAATATATTGACTGTTATTTATTAAAATGAATGAAATGATAAAGAGACATTTTAATTACTTACTTGTAAAGCGAAAATTACCCGCTTTTTAACTTCTAATGCTACAAACAACCTCAATCAAAGCTACGAATTCTATGCTAATTTAAGATTCACGTTACCGGCAATCCTGGTAAACGTAGCTACGATAGACGTCGCTCTCATTTACATTGGGTTACCAGCGACGTCGATGAGGCGTCCTTGTATTGCCTTGACAATTCGATCCCTTTGTCTCGGTTTATCAAACCACTTGCAACAATGAAGACATGTCTCATCAAATCTAATTGCTATAGTCTAGTCTAACTTTATAGAGCAATATTTCAGGTACGTGAGAGATTGATGTTTATATGAATGTGAGTTTATGTGAAATACATAAATATACAATTTCAATTAATTAAACATTAATTTCCTAAAATTTACAGAGAAAAGATGATATATCAATTATTTAAAAAAATAATAAATTAATAAAACATGCGATTTTTAATGTTGTCACTACGAAAAAATGTGCGCATGTCGATAAAAAACTGGTGAGGTAAAAAATGCTTACTGCGCTAAAGAAACATGCTTACGGTGAAAACATGCCAGTTTTGAAGGTAAAGCACTTGTAAAAAAATATACCAGGTAAATATACTAGAAACTTTTTAATTTAACTTGTGTACATATTATGTATAGAAAGGCTGAACAGCTTCACAAAAATCTAAAAAGAGACATCAAGGCCGAAGTATCGTCAATTTTAATATGTCTAAAATATTTCGACATCTGTTGAATATTTTTTATATCCTTAGGATTCTCTATATTATTCGGCAAAGAAATCAGTGTATCATGAACGTTATTTTTATTGCGCATGATGCTAAGACTATTTTGATTATATAATAATCTCTGAGTCATGCTCGTTCTACTGGAAATTATGCGACAGCTCGAGTAGCGCAAAATTCCTCTCTCTTTCACGATACTATTACCTGGTTGAATATAACTCGAGACTCGCCACGCGCTCTCGCCGCGGTGTCGGAGCGGCCTTCTTTCCAAACGGGCCCCAGTCATCCAGAATGTCTCTGTGCGAATGGTACGCGAATCGCGCGGTGCTCCTTACGGGAGTCACCAGCGAATTGGGACGTGTTCTTCTGGAGAAGATCCTGCGATGCTTGCCGAACGTCACAGTGTGCGTCCTTCTCAGATCCCGGGACGGGCTCAGCATCGAGGACCGGTTGAAGAAGATATTCGCGTCGCCCGGGTACGAAAGGATTATATTATCCCTCGTCGCGTTTACCTAGCGCCTGTAAATCGCACTAGTCGCTCGATATCGCTTTTGTGAGCGTTAAATTGTGACCCGCGATTCCGGTCGAGAGCGTGCGCCGAATTTATTCCCGAAGACGTTGAACCGAAAAAGGCACTTCTCTCTTTTTCTCCTCTTTTTTTTCTTGCCTCTCTCTTTCTTTCTTTACACCCGGTGGCTTTCCGCGGGAATTCCGAGAACGTGGTGTACCTTACGCCAAGAATCGATTGTGGAATTAGATTTTCAACGAATGCTCATGTGCCGCGACGGATAGAATGGCATAGTTCGAAAATTTTTCCGAAAAATCGTTATTACTCTTATTTACGTGACTATAGAAAAGTACTGTTGCAAAAGATTGGATATTTCTATTCCTGATTTGTTTATAACAGAAACGTAATCTCGGATGTAAGTCTAGCACTCGACGTAAAAATTCCGCGTCAACATTATTCGTTTCGAAATGTCACCATTGTGTGTCGTCATCTGTCAAAAATGTGATATTCTCGTATAGTGATTCCGCTGTTCAAAACATGAATAACAAATTAATATCTAAAGTATAAATAACATAAAGCAAAATCTTTCATTGACATTTGCAAAATTTGCACTGATATTTCCCTAAAGAAAAAAAAATCATTAATTTATTAACCCGCGAACGATCGAATTGCATGGTTCGAAGAAGTGGTGACAGAATCCGATACATGTGCAATCGCACTTACTCAGCCGAAATTACAGTCGCAATAATAATGCCATCAAGACGAGGAAATGCAGTTGGACGCGTATAAACCCAATTGCCTCGTTACGTGCTCGTCCATCGTAACGATCGTCCGGATGCATCGCAAGATGCACGCGAAGGAGAAACTCGGCGTCGGTGCATCGTGCGGCGACTCCCTCGAGGGAGAGAAGCGAGCTAAAGCTCGCAGAGAGAGATTTATTTTCATTAGCACACGCCTCCGCGCTCCCTTTAGAAAGATTATGAAGTATACGCGGCACGGCGCTCTTCTCTCTCTCTCTCTCTCTCTCTCATCCTCTCTTTTTCCTCTTTCTCGCCCTCGGAAAATCCGCGACCGCGCGGAAAATTCGTCCGCGTTTTGAATTTCACGAAATTAAAATCCACGCGAAAGGATTGTCTTCCCCTGGGAAATCGTAGTTACCATTGGATCGCTGCGTTTCTCTCCTGCTTGAAAAAGAGGATCGCCCCGGCGCGTAAATGAGAAAATGCAAATGAACGAGCAGCTCGAAATGTTCAAGGTGCAACTACTTCGACGCTATTACGTTCGGCTGAAATCGCTCTCGGCTCTCTGCGGCCGCTCTTGCCGGATTTTCCACGTCTTATTTGCGACTCCTTCTACATTTCCGTTTAAAATAGTTACCGGGTGCATGAATCTGATTGCATAAATCTCTCTGCAACTGTACTTCGGAACATCAAGGTATTACGCTATATGTTTGCATTTGGTCCATCCAAACATACCGAGCGCGTTGAATTGGAGTTTATTGTAGGTATTCGCATATATTATTTTTTTTTTTTGTATCTTTTGAATATACATCAAGAGAAAAAAACAAACACGAATTATCATCACAAATGTATTTTCGAAATAGAATAAGATTTATGTGTTATTCCTCCTTTCTTTATCGTGATTAATATTCATTATTGTATCATCATCCATAATTAATTTCCCCCGAGATGGCGCGTCTAAGTTTTTCTCGTTAATTTTTGCCCGTAATTGTATCTCGCATCCTGGAGATAAAATCCAAGGACGCGTTGCATAATTTGAAACTGCGTATCACCGGAGCAGCGCTTTACATTTTTAACAGCATCCGCGTTCCGTGCGCTCTTTTAACGCTACGACGCATCTCCATTTTGATAAAGCGCGGGCCCGGCTGTAAATTCTAAAGCCGATTTGCATCACCGGTGTTATTATCGTCCGGCAGGTACGAGCGACTGAGGCAGGAGGTGCCCGGCGCGATTTCGCGCGTGAAAACATTCGAGGGCAATCTGCTTTACGAGGATCTCGGCCTAAGCAACAAAGACAGAGCCTCGTTGAAGGAGGTTAGCGTGGTCTTTCATGCTGGCGGACCTCACGACTGCGTCCTGGAATACTGTCAAGACTTACCGAAGCTGAAGAGCATCGCCGTGGCATCCAGCATCTTCAGGCATCGCGGCCAGATAAGCGAGAATTTGCAAAACGAGAAGATTCCGGAGTTACCAGTTGCCCTAGTGCGGTTCCCCTTTGTCGGACCGGCTTACAAAGAACCTAAGCCCGGCTTTGTCGAGATTCTTAAAGGACCCACGGCCCTTATGGTTGGCGCGGGTTTTGCATACGGCAATTCGGCGTTTCAAGCTGAAATTATTCCAATGGATATAGCGGTGAATACGATGATAGCGGCTGCGTGGGAAATGGGCATGTACGTAAAAAAAAAAAGATATTATTTATAAATTTATACAAATATATTTAGATAATTCATATATCTTGTCTCTTTGCGTGATTTATAAATTAAATTATAATTATTTCAATTATATAATTAAATTAAAAGTTTTTTAATAAAATCAATAACATTTGACAATTTTGAAAAAGGGAGGCTTAATTTGTCAATTAATAAAATTTAAGATTTTTTGATTCCTCTTATTATCTCCTTTTTATTTTTACATTAATTAAAATTAACTTGCCGTTAATTTTACTTCACAGTAATAAATTAGTTTCTGCACTGGAAACCATGCACTAAAATATTCATTTACGTAAGGGTTATTAAGATGTACTTAAATATTACGTTCGTTTAACGTTTAATTAAGAAGAGAAAGTCAACCGTTTGCTAAAGGTACGCACGTGCATGGTGTTGTGCAATCTTTTGCGGAACAGCAATAATCAACATCGTCTAATTAGAGACATGAAACAGAATGTAGCGCGATATCGTTCTATTCTCTTACAGTTATTGCGCAACCTGTGTACTTTCTTTAATTTTAAAAACATGTAAAGATTTTTACTCGGGAAAATAATTATCTTGCTTGCACTTCTTTCAATGAGATCTTATTGTTAAAAAAAGATTTTTCCTATACTTTTGTAATCATTTTATAGAATAGTGTCAGTAAAGAGATATAAAATACGAATGAACAATTATTATACACAAAGATAGTGTGGCTATAATGAGTGTCGACAGTTCTATTTGTTCGTTTCTTTTTTAAACAAAGAGAGAATTCAAAATCGATAGAAATTAAAGAGCGTGATTTGATACAAAAATCCGTATAAAATCTCATGTATGCAATCGATTAATGCTCGATTTATAGAGATCCGTGAAAAACGGTTAGTTTTATCAACAAAAAAATAAAATTGTTAATAAAAAAAAATAGATAAAACCTTTCTCTCGCAATTGCAGTTTTTAACATATCAAGCAATCGAAATTTGTTACAGACACGGCTTATCTAGTTTTTCCAATGCGAAATATTGGATACGAACAAACAGGTTTTACATGTGCGCGCTGTTTCCACGGTTATTAGTGTTTTGTTCGTATCCAACGCTTCCGCTTCAATTGTCTAAAACGGAATTCGTTCTTTTCGTTTTTGTTTGAGATTCACCTCGGTAATTTGCTAAAAGCCTGGTTGCTTCTGCCTTGATAATATCATAAGTTTCTCATGTTAAATATCTAAATTACTTTGAGCTCTAAGTAACAGTATGTTTATATACATATATCATAACAGGATCTGTTAATAGTTTAATAATATTAAATCGGCATTTAATATTCTTTTATCTCGAAAAGACAAAGCAATCAGTTCTTTTTAGACGATTCACTTAATTTATTTAAAAACGTGCTTTTTTATACTAAAGATATAAAATATTTATTTAATAAGCTCTAATCTCTTTATAATCTATATTATAGCTTTTTTAATCTTCTTATTTGATTTATTTTTTAGCTTGAATTTGTGATGCAGGACCTGTATTCTATATATTATTCGTACCTGTATTATTGCAATTTTTCGGTTTGATTTTCATTGGCTTTTAACTAATCTCTAGCTAACATAAATTTTAGATGTACGCTATTACAGCGCGTCGTTAAAGTACTCTATTATACTCTTTTTACGGCAACCTTTTATTTAGATCAACGATCGAATGAAAGTTCGAATTCCTGTTTACTTCTGAATTTTTTTCGGCATTATATTTTTGGCTTATGTAAAAAGTACGGTAAAAAGATATGTTTTTTACTCGAAAGAAATGATTATATATAATAAAGATTGTGCGCACGAGAGCAGATAATCGATAGTTAAATTGCGCTTCATGCTTGGAAGGAGGATGGTTAAATTGTATTAAGTCGATTTATTGAACCGAAGATATAGGTAGAGTGCATCAATTTTCATACTAGACATATCGACGAGAAAAAATAAGTTCAGCGTGAAACAAATATTGAAAATAATATCGCAGTGAAAATATTGGCTCTCGCGAGAGAAAGGACTTCAATCAAAAATTGTGCGCGATGCATCTTGTCGATGAAACTTCTTTTATTTATTTCATGCGAAGTTTTAATTAGTGCACACAGTGATATCCGAGACAAGCTTCTTAAATTCCAAGAGCTTTTATTTGAGTCAGCCAATAAAAAAATCAATCAAATAAAACTCATAGCTATGTTTTTCCAAGCTTTCTTCAGAAGTCCTACATTTAATAGTAGTTTCAACTAGAAGTATTTGGTTGTTTTGCTTTGAGATATTTCCAAACGATTGCCCCGAGCGAATAGGTTAATTGTGTTTACTTTATAAAAAGCGTAGTGCGCTATATCTTGCTTTTTATACTTTTTTTTCACATTTTTTAGCGATTATTTTATTCGTATTTGAAGCAATTAGTCAGAATGTGATTAATTATAATGAGTAAAAAATCTTTTAATCATTGTATAAGAAACATGAAAATGCGTTGTAGTCTCGATATCCGTAAAAAGTGCTTTTAATACGTACGTATGGAAAAAAATTCAAGGCTCTGAATGAATTGCACAATATAAAGATGCCTTTTCATACGCAGCATGTTGCAGCAGCAAATCAATTAAGTGATTAATATTTATTAGAGCATATTTCTTCGTTCTCTTATTATGTCAAGGTTAAAAAATATGATTTTTGCTTTAATATTCTTATAATAATTTATTTTATTCTTAGAATCCATTATTTGATTATTATTAATAATAATAATTAGAATCAACTAGTTGCGTGTTCGTTCAATTGAACTTCACCAATAGCAACAAATTGCTGCGGCAGCATGCTGCACATGAAATGGTGCATACCATAATGCATTTTTTTCCATTGTCCAATTTCCGATTACTTAAATTTATCACTTAAATTTGCCTAAAAACTTTGGAGAATCGGAGCACCTTATAAAAATACAAGAGTGCATAAACTTTCTAAATTAATAATGCAGATGCGTATATATATTCATACGTAACTTAGGTATATTATCGCATAACTCTGAATAAAAAGGGAATTTGCTACTCTCTCTCGGCCGCATATAAAGCGGTTAATTATCGCGCGATGCTAAATGACTAAATGCCGCCGGGTGCGCTCTCTCATGTATGTATGTACGCTCTCGTTTTCGCCTAGGTCAAATGCTGAGAAACCGGTGGCCTACAACGCGGTAACGCTGGGCTGCACGTGGGATGAGCTGATTAAGAATAATCGACGGGCCAGCTGGACCTTTCCCTATCCGACTTTTGGAATCCGCGGCATGACGTCCATCGGGCCGTTGCACTGGATTTTGGTGCTGCTCCTCGAATGGCTACCATCCGTACTCTGCGACATAGCGCTCACTCTATGCGGGAGAAAACAGAGGTATATTCTACGAGCGTGAAAATTTATCGCGAAGTTTCGCGAGTCACGAATTTATCGTCACAGTTCCGTCAACGTCATCGTTGCCGCGGAAAATTTAACGCAGTCTTATATTTTGACCATCGCCATTAATTTTACTATAAAAATGTAAAGTGTCAAGATTGTTCCTTTTCCTTATTTTTTTGTAATCACTGCTTTGCAATTTATTATTACGTAAATGTAAATAAGACACGTAATGTTGTTAGTTAGGTATATTCTGTTAGGTAAATATTACGCCATTAGTCTTATATTACTCGCTTCTTATATTAAATACTTGATCGCAGAGAGGCAACGAATAAGCTACTCTTGTTACCGGAGTATTGTCTAAGTTTAAAGTTGGCCCCGCGTAGCGCTTCTGCAACAGCTGGCAATATTAAATTTGCTCGCGATATTAACTTGCGCGGAGAACGCAACACTATTAAAGACATTAAGTCATTTTCTAAGAGAGCATAACGCGATATTACTTTGCATTACGGCTCAATTTATAAGTTATAGATAGCTTTCCAGACAGCATCAAATCCAAAATCGGCGCATAAAATATCTTTAAAATATGTTTAAGATGTCTTTCAGATATCATATCATAAGATTTCTTAAAGCTGTCTTAAAGATTTCTTAATGATAGCTTATGCGCCAATTTTGGGCTTATTGCTGTTTGGATTATCGCATCATGCATTAAAATATGCAGTTTTAAATAGAAATTGTGCGCTACTTTTGCAACCATTTGACGAGAATCGTTAAATTTTACACCCGATTCTATCTATATAACATTTATATATGGGAAGTAATAAAATATATTATTTATAACAACTCGCGCGCGGTTGCATATAAATTCTATTTTCAGCGCTTAATATCGCAACGACTATAAATTCGAGAGATCACGGAACGTTGATCGCAGCCAGTATTATTAAACTTCGATGCATTTCGAAGATAATCCTCCTTCGCTGCATTTGCGAGCATTAAGAAACGGTTAAAGCCGCATACATGAAATTTCGAACTTCCCGATAACTACTCTCACTCTATTATCGCGAGCGAGTTTCGATGAGGAGAGAGGGAGACCCGCGCGCGAAAGTTTGATCGCGATCGCGAAATACGCTTATACAATTCGGTCTCCACGACTTTCTGCGTTGTGAAAGGTCCGTCGCGCGTCATACATTCGCTTAACGCACCACAAAATCGTAAAAGTAAAAGTTATCTGGAACGGAAATTTTAGGCACGAGAGAGTGACATAAACAAGTTCACCGGGCTCTTTCGCAAGAACGCCCGGAGAAAAGGAAAATCGCGTCGTCTTTCTCTCGAATGGGAAAACTCGTTTCCCTCGATCGCAAAAGTTGCGTCACTCGATGCCTGATTGCTTTGAGAAATGAGGTTTGATGCCGCGGCCGCGACGAGAAACTTTCAGGAAATCTTGACAGGCGACGTCCCATCGCTCTTTACGTGCTCTTGAAGAGTGTTCAGGTAAATAGTATCGACTTACTATTTACTTTGCTAGCACTCGATTATTTTCGATGAATTGCTCAATGAGGAACGGTAACCACCGACCAACTTTCTAATAACGTCCTTTCTTCAGGAGAGTATTTTTATCACATTTTTTTTTTTATTAAATATCAAGCAAATAATTTTTTTATTATTAACTATTTATATGTTTTTTAAAATATGCAATAAGAAAGAAAAGGAAAGGAAAAATGTGTAATATAGATAAATCGATTACTTTTGTAGGTTGATTTGCGAGCGCGAAAATATTTTTGCTTTTCTGCCTTTAATCTGTCAAATACTCTCCTGATTTTTTCATTTGCTCTCTCAGATGGTCGCGTACGGAGTAAATCTTACCCGCTACCTTAATTCGGATTTCTTCTTCCTGAAAAGCAACTCTTCCATCAAGTTTGCCACGATTCTTTCGTAATAAGTTGGATTGGAAATTATATAGTTCGCGACGGACGAAGAAAGTTTTTTTATTATCCCACTCACTCTTAATGGTATTTTACGATCTTTTTTCTCAATTGCGATTGAATTGGCTATTCGAAAATCAATCTTGAATACTCGTTCGTTCCACTGTACGTACTGAATCTACAGACATTCGAATAAAAAAGCGATTTTATCTAAACAGTAGAAAAAAAGATTATACCATGGAGGAGATGAAAAAAAAAAGATCGAGCGAATAGTCGAGAGTTTGAGAGGATCGGGCGAGACAGGCATTAACGGAAGAGGGAAAGGAAAAAAAACGATCGGTCCTGCAGATAAAACCTTTACTGCTTCCTAGGGTTCTCGCAGAGTACGAGAGAGTTCGTAATGCACTTCGATCCCTGAAGCCAATTTCATCGAGACCGTGGTCAGTGGACAGAAATCGCGTGTACCTGCTACAGCAACGTCTTGCGGCGGCAGATCGAGATGTATTTCCGGTCACCGCAGAAGTCGACATCGAGGCTTATCTTCTCTGCGCCGCAGCCACCACCCAGAAGTCCTGCGTGAACGAGGACAATCTCAAAATCATTAGGATTATTCATCTGTTCTTGTTATGCGTGCCCGTAATATTCGTCGTCGCATACATTGCATCACGTACGTTGCTGTCACATGAATGATATATTTAAATATTTACATAAATCATTTTAAGATTTTTATGTATACTTTTATAATATATATATAGAATGTCTGACAGGTTTTTAGTTTATAAGAATTTCTAATGAGAAGAACGTGACGTCTATGGAACTTCTTTATTCTCTGATCAAAAGTATATATATATATATATATGTATGTTAAATATAAGGGAAATATTTATAATAGATTACTGATATTAATAACCACGTTTGCATACACAATTACCTATATACTTACTGCGCAGTTTAAAATTACAGTTAGATAAAAAATTTGCACTTGTGGAACTTTAATTTTATTTCCTATATTTTAATCATATGTATGGCTCCATTAAATTTATTAACGGTACATGTCAACAGTATTAATAGGACGATATTTATTCATTCTATAAATTATTCGAATTATCTTTTCTGGCGTAAGAAAATTGATAGTATGTCGATCATTCATGAAATGTGATTCTGGAAGTATACTCGGTCAAAATCATGCGTAACGCTTTTGTAAATATTCGTGAGAGTCGAGGCGTCTACATGAGAAAATAACATTTGGGTGAAAGTTTCCAGGCGCCACAAACATCTCGCCTTCGCGCGCACAGCGTATCAACGAAGGCATATTTCCGCGCACGTTCTCTCTTATGTAATATCGCTGCGCTCCGACTTGCACTCATTCGATTGAAAAAGATACAAGGAAAACGGGGAATATTATTTGCAGATTTCGTATGTTTTCTCTTGAGAACAAGAAAGAAATTCCCTCGAAAACTTTTCGATATGTGCGTAACAACGCGATATAAAGATCGCGTTTTGTTTCGAAGCCGTATGCGCGAAAATGTATTATGACGATATAATATTTTATTTACTTATTTCGCAAGATGAGAAGAAAAAAAAATATTCGTGAAAATGTAAGTTACATAATTATTTTGTGATAATTACACAATAATTTCGGTAACAAAAATAAATATCTTATATGTAATACATTTTTATTAAGAATAAATGTGAATAAAAAAATTAAAAATAATAAAAATAAAATATTACATATAACATATAAGATTTTAAATTATGTATAAAAGATTTTGCTTTGAAACTATTCTTTGCTTCTATTATACATATTTCGTCTGCATTTGAATTGTGTAACATTTTTATTTTGTATATTAACACGTTGAAAATAACCTCGTATAATTTGAGTTTCCTTATTTTTAAATTCATGCAAATTATCGTATGGATTCTTTTATTCCGTAGTAATAACATAGTTAGAGCAATGACCGGAATATTCCCATCACCTATATAATGTACGTCATCCGATTTTTTCCGCTTTTCGTTGTCAGCAAAAATTTCGTTCGCGTGACTAGCTTGTGGGAGCTTGGAGCCGAGTTATGCTTTCAAAATCCTATTACGAGTTGCGAGCGCAAAATTTAGCAAAGAAAGTTGCGGATTAGTTTCGTGGGATATAATTGGACGTGGTGGGTGGAACTGTGCCTTCATAATAATAATTGGGAACGTCTATTCCGCAAAACGAAGTTTCTCGCTGTTGGCGAGAAGCTGAGCTAAGGATTGAGGAGCTATAAAAAAGAGGTTAAAAGGGAGACTATTAGATAAAAAAGCAGAATATTGAGAAAAATAGTAAAGAGGAGAGGAAAGGAGAGAGGAGGAAAAGAGCAATAAAGTGGAAAAAACGTGGAAAGAAGAGAGTGTATATATTCAATTTACCTCTAATAGATATGAATAATATGTATATATTCAGGTAAATATGTACGTGATTGTTTCTCTGTAAAAGTGACTTATGCTGGCTAGAACGATATAGCACATTCGAAGGAAAGAACATCAAAGAGTTCTTTGTAAATCCATTCAATGTTTCTTATTTCCACAGAATCATTTCGCGGAAATTCACAACTAGTTACGAGATATAGATAAAAAACAATTTATTTATTTATTTATTTTTACAATAACTATAGAAAAAAACAATTGTTTTTCAAACAACAACGTTGTTAGGTGAATAAAAAAATATCACAATAAACATTTACTGGTATCCACATTCATGAATGCAGTTTTCACTTGCATTTTTAAAATAAAATATAGGATTAGAGAGCAGAACCTGTTTTCTAACTGTTCCATTTATTTTATATTTTATTACACAATCTCTATATCTGAATATTTTTTAGACTTGAAAGACTTGTAATTTCCAATCTCCTTACGAGTGTTATAATCTGCCAACGAATGGCATATAAAATTTATTAATAAACTTTTTAGTAATAATCTCGTTATCGTCTCTAGTCGCATTCGTACATTCAACGTAGCGAATCGCAAGAATTATCATAACTCGACAATCTTGAGAAACGAGATTTTCTTTCTCTCTTTCTCTCTTCCAACTAGCGCCTCACCATTTCGAGATTATTTACCCCAAAGGTCTGTAAAGTTTTCTAACAGCTGTTGCTGGGCGAGTTCCTCCCCCTTTCTCGATCTTATTTCGCCTTCACCTGCTGCGCGAGCTTGAACAGATATCTTTCTTGCTTGCTGAAGTAGTTGAAACTCTCAAGCGGCAGTTATCCAATGTGTTTCTGCACCGTCCGCGCGCTCGAATTCCGCCGGAAATTTCGCCGAAAACTGAAAAGTCGTATTTCTTACGCGTGCGCACGTAATGAAGCGAGACTAGAATAAACGGAAGTTCTCGGAGACCACACAATGGTTCTATTCTTCTTCGCGATGATCTACGACTACCGTACTACTAATAGTAAAATAATTCTTTACGCGCTATATAATACAATATTATGATTTTCCAACTTCTTCTCATACGCTATATACTAATTCACATAAGTATTGCGTACACTCGCAATATTTCTTTCGATTCATATCATTTACTTTATTTCTTTATTCTATGCGATTATTTCTACGCGTAAAAAAACAATGATTTTGTTCTTTTTTTTAAATTAGAGGGACAATTGTATGCGACAATTTGTTACAAACTGTACAAGAAATATATATATATGAATACACGTTACATGATAGACGTACGCTCGAGTAAACGTCATCAGAGCGAGAGATATTCCCAACTTCTTCTCATACGCTATATACTAATTCACATAAATATTGCGTACACTCGCAATATTTCTTTCGATTCATATCATTTACTTTATTTCTTTATTCTATGCGATTATTTCTACGCGTAAAAAAACAATGATTTTGTTCTTTTTTTTAAATTAGAGGGACAATTGTATGCGACAATTTGTTACAAACTGTACAAGAAATATATATATATATATATATATATATATATATATATGAATACACGTTACATGATAGACGTACGCTCGAGTAAACGTCATCAGAGCGAGAGATATTGCAGTAATAAACGTAAAGCGCATCTTCTTGGTCCGATTGTACCGCACGAGATTAATTGCAGCCATTCTATTTCCTTGGTAACATCGGGTACTCGCGAGCTCGACCACGTTGGGTGGATACAATGGTCGTGCGTGGTTCCAGGATCAAGTGGAATAAGGAAAACGTAGGGTCCGACGTGGAAGAGATCCCCGTCGCGGCATTATTCTCCCCAATTAATGGTGATATTTGTAGCTCGCGCCCATTTGTGTACGCGACTTAACCGTCCGCGAGAAAATAAAATTCTCGAATGCGGAGGAGGATGGAAAAGACTTGTCGAGGAATCGCGACGACGCCGGAAACCGCGCGCCATTTTAAGGGATCTTGTTCCTTCGGCCCCTTGGCACATCTTCTTCGCCGCCGAGAAAAGCTACCTACGGGCTATTGTGCTTCTTAAAAGAGTACAATAACGACGACCATCCGGTGGCTCTCTTCGTGGAGTTTTATCGCGGAAACGTATAATGCGCAGTCGAAACGACCGCGTTCGTAACGAATGCCACGTACGTTTTGTTGCCCGTCGCAGACACACAGCGAAAGTCCAAAGTCGCGGATCTTCCGGTAACACTCCACGACAATCTGACCATTTTTATAGCGCGGAACATAAAAATGGAGAAAGATTTTCTCGGTGAAGAGATCTTCGTTTCGCTTCGATATCTATGCCACGAGAAAAGGAGATATGTATCTCCTTTTCAATGTAAACATCTCGTGGTTTGTTTTATTTGACTTGATGTTTCGAAAATTTTGTATTAAGAGTCGAGAGTTAAATCTCGAAGGAAGTAAAAATTATCATTTCTCTTCCGACTAACTCTATGTAGAATAAAAGAAAAATAAAAAGCAATGAATAAATAATCGTAGAGAATCGAAATCGCGAAATATAATTTTCTAGAAAATTGTTATCAATCGTTTTGTGATTATAAAAGGATGTACAGAGAAAACGCGCACTGAACAATTTGAGAAATAACATTTTCCAGCTGCTGGAAAGCTATCTGGATATCTTCTTTGTCCACAGCGGAAGAACATTGTTAGAAGATTGTAGAATTTATGTAGCGGTTGGAGAATAAGGATACGAACAGGTTGCGATACAACCCGCCGTTGTTGTTGCACGGCTTTTCCTTTACAAGCGTACTTCAACCATCCTTAGTATCTTCCAATCTAGCAGATTAAAGGGCATAGATATAATCCGGAGCGCAGTAATTTCATTGCCGTTTTCAGCGTATACAATTCTCTACCTTCGCTCTTTGAACAATCTCTTGCGCGAGCTTTAATAGTCTAAAATTTTGATAGAGCATCATAAATTTCTCATGATTTTATATAATCAAGCTGCGACTCGCTGCTTAAATATAAATCATGCATAAGACTTATTGTTAGTGTGACGGTGAACGAATATCGAGGAAAAGACGCGTCAAAGAACGACAAAGCGTCCTCGCATACGCGACGGAGAGAAAAATGTGAAGATATAGCGAGTACGAGGTATACATTCAGTAAAAAGAACACGGGAGGAAATGGTTTTACTCCCGTAACAACAGCGGAAAAGAGAAGCGGAGAAATGATTTACGTACAACCAACAACTACCGTCCATACTTAAGTATGAATAAGGTAACGGTAAAAAGGTAAGGCAAAAAGGAATGAAAAATTATAAACGAGAGCATTTTCTTGTATAAAAATCATTTCCATTGTAATCTTGAGGCAGAGAAAAAGAGAGAAAAATCTAATACTATTATAGTTTGCTATCAAAATCGACTTTTATATACATCAAAGTATTTATCACACAATCATTCATTTTATAACTATAAATAATTATTAAGGCATAAATTGTGCAATTAAACAAAATTAAAATCACGATAATTATTATGCGGATGGATAATCTATTTATTATAATATCAATTATTTATGATAATAACAGCTGGAGAT